GGTTGGCTTTCAGTCTAGTGTTAAGGTGAGGGTTAAGAGTTGGGTTAAAGTTGGTGTTCCGGCCATGACTCGAACTCCTGTGTTCGCTTCTATCAACAGGGGAGGGTTCTTATTGTTATGTCATTGTCCTCCGGTGATACAGGCGACCTTGGCAAAATTCTCCGAAGGTTCAAGGCCGATTAGGGTTAAAGTGGGGGTTAGGAAAGGAGCATAAGTACCCTTCTTTGAAATTGGCACAAGGCCACCTGTATTTTTAGGAAGGTTACCTTTTACTGTGTTTTACCGGAATCAAAACTGCCGCCACGCACTTATGAGCGAAGCGGTTTACGCCTAACTTCACCAAAATCCACTTGTTTACCTCTCCGAGTCCATCAGCACCCGTGATCGATTCCCAGTACAGTCTCTCACCTAAAGCCCAACTGCCAGCCACTGCCCGATTTGTAATGGTGTGCCTCCGCTACCACTTTTGCCTCGCTTGACAGTTCGTGCACATACTCTCTTTCGCCTCTGGTTGCATCCCATTTGCATGATCTGTCTACCGTTTGCACTTTTTGTGTCTTGTACGCATCCTGCGCAGGCGTCCTCGCTCCCACTTGCAAATTACTCGATCAGATCGCAGGTGTGAGTATTTTCGCAACAATGTGGCGCGTCATTTCGCCTTTCACCAGGACGAAGCGCATTCAGGGCTTTTCGCCCCCCGAAGCTGCTTTTTAGCCCCGTGATTAAAATCATTTAACTGAAACCTCAGCAGTTGTCTACAAGATAGTTTGCAAATACGTTGGGGGAAACCGGGTGGAACTTGCAGGAGCGCAAATCGGCCATTCGGAGGTAAGACCAAAACTGTCAACCTGCAACGCATTTAGGAGAAATTGGCCATACTTTTAATCTTCAGGGGGCTACCATCTTGGACCGGAGTAAGTCAAAAACGGGACGACTAACATGTAAGACGTAGTATTTAGACGCGGACTCCATCAACAGTCATCTTGACCTTCCTGTAGTTTGTAAAGTCTTACTTGCTCAAGTATACAAAACTCTGAATAAGAAGGGTATACAAAAAATGAAATGGTTGCGCTAACATAGCTCAATGACAAACCCACCCGACAAAAAGAGCCGTCCAATAGAACAACACCGGTAGGGGTTCAA